TTTAGTTTAAGAAAAATATCTGGCCGTTTAATAGCTGAAAATATTCTTAAAGTATCATCAACTATAAATAATTTCTATGTAAGTAACATTTTATTTTAATTAATGAATAAATGAAGACTTTCCTGTTTGATTTTTGTTTTATAGTCGGTTCTTCCAACAGTTCATCGTGGTCGTGTTGTATCTCCAGTTCGAATGATATCCAATGATGAATGTGAAATACTAGGCCGAATACAAAAGATAACTGACGATGGTATGCCAGGTGAATGTTATACATATAGTATAACAGGTGTTAAAAATAAACGTGTTATTTTATTACCAAATGATTCAGTAACATTCTCGGTTGCTATTGGACTTGATTATTCAAGACGTGCTGTGAATATTGTTTTAGAAAATGAATTACGTAAAGGAAAAGTTGATACAGTTAAAGGACAGGTAATATAATCGTTTTTTTTTCTTCTTTTTCAATAAAAAATTGTCTTTTTTTTTCTTCGTAGTTTGGTTTTATTGATTTTGCATGTGAAGAAAATAAAAAAATCTTTTTTCATAATTCAGAAATTGAAGCTGGATTTGAATTACGAGCCGGTGATGAAGTCGAATTTTATGCTCAATATAATTCTAAAAGTGGTAAACCATGTGCTAGTAAATTACGTCGTGTTAAGTAAGTTTTAAGTAGCTTACAAGGAAAATCTTCCAACTGATTAATCACTTATGAGTCGAGACTATGGTGTACCATGTAAACTCAAAAATAATTTGGAATATTCCATAAAGAACTCGAACTCTTAGCTTGTTACTGCGTAAATACATCAAAAGATAGAGAATACAGAAGGCTACAATGTCGTCTATGACTTAGACTATTAAAATTTATTCATGATTTAATGTAGAATTTTATGCTGGGTCATTTGATAAAAATTTCAGATCAAGTCTATAATGCCTACGGTAATAAAAGCCAAAAATACTAACCTTAGTTCTTTATCATCGAAAATGTCATCGATATCATCCGATAATTTGTCAATAATTTTCTACAGCTTTCATCTGAGGTTGGTTTCATTCCAAAGAAAATTCAATTTTGTACCAATTACTACAAGGAAAAAAATCTAAGAAAACAACTTATAATTGTCTTTTATTTGTTACTTCATTACTGGTCAACAGCATGTTGACTTCTTGAATGATAGCGACACATAAGGTTCTGTTGAAATAACTTTGTATATACCATGAAACAGCACTTAGCAAACGTTAGACAGGCATACATTTTTAAAACTTAACAGACATTTGACATGTTAGAAATCTCAAGCATATTGTTCACTAGGCATGATTTTGTACGGTTTAAGTACGTATTTAGCAGCTTTTCAGTCAAAAATCTACCACGGGAACCAAAAGTTATAATACATTTGAAATCAGCATTCAAAACTAAGTCCACTTATGTATGTTTAAAATAGTTTGCGAAACTTTTTTCGTCAAAAAATTTAGCCTAGTTGCATCTCAGAGTTTAGTGAAAAAATAAATTCTAATACAATGTTGTCAAAACTAATGAAATGTTATTACAACTTAACATGACAGATAACTAAACAGTAGAAGACGCCGTTTGGTAGGGTCTATTTTTTTACTGCAATCTCAGGCGAACCTCAGCGGAATTTTTTCATTAAAAATCTGCTATATCCTAGTGAATAATGTGCTTGAGATGTCTCAGATGGCCATTATCCGTTGAGTTTGAAAACTGCACGCTTGCCTAGCATTTATTAATTACTGTCGAATCATAAATAAAGAGTTACATATACTACTGACCAGTAATGACGCAACAAGTAAAAGACAATGATAAGTTGTGTTACTAGATGTTTTTTTATTATAGTAATTGGTGTAGAATTGACTGTTCTATCAAATGAACCCAAGTTGAAATAAAAGTAATATTACTGTAGAAAATGATTGGCAAGTTATCTAATGATATCGATGTCACTCTCGATAATGAGGACCTAAGGATAGTGCTTCTGGTTGTTATCAAGCTAGATATTATCAAATCTATCTGATATCCTTACCGAACGGCTCAGCATAAGATTCTGCAACGAATTATGCATAAATTTTAACAACTTGAATGACTAGCAAATAGATAATCTAATGAGCCTCTATCCTTTACAGCAATTTTTCAATGAATGCCGTAGTTTCTCTCAGCAACATCAGTAAGACTATTTTCCAAATGTAGACTTAAAACTTAACGTGCATAGGTTTTTGTGAGAGTTTCATGTTTGTTGATTTGCTTCTATCCTGAAATATTAACACTGAATCTAGCATTATATGTGAGTGATATACACGACATGCTGTTATCTTAACTGTATTTTAAGACATACATAACAAAAAAAATCTGAAGCATTCGGAAGAAACTATGCTCATCAAGAACTGTCTTTATGCAAAGTTTTAAATCGAAGTTCGTAAATCAATTTTCTTGGCTTTCCTGAGAGAAATCACAGTATTCGTTTACAAACTATTGTACAAGTGCAATGTCTTAGTAGCAATAAGCTTAGGGTCAGAATCGTTATCAGTGGAGAGATTTTCTGGTTAGAATATATATATATATAATGTTCTTTTGTTTTCTTTTAACTTAAAGTAATCTTCAACGACCTGACCGATTAATTACGAAGCTTAAGTCGATGAATTTTGATGAGAATACACGACAAAAATTAGTAATTGTGCGACAGCCACGAAATGCCGATGAAAAATCAAAAGGTTTTACAAGTGTGCGTGTTGAACGTGCACCTGGTGTATTGATAAAAACACAAAATTAAAATTTCATCAAAAGAAAACAAAACAACTTAACCAACCGAATCTCATTTTATAAATGACACAAGCAATAGACACTATCGAGTTTCTTTTTTAGTACTGTTGAAAAGTTTACGTTTTTTTCTTGTTCTCTTTGTCCATCTCTTGGTTTGTTCTGTGGATACTGTGCCATCATGTCCTATTTTTTTTTTCTTACAAAGTAATCTATGTATTTCACGTCGTCCTTGTTTCATGACGCACGGTTCGTTCTTGTCTTTTGTCTATCTACATGTATGCATGTGTGAAAAAAAAGATAGATGTGAGATGATCAGAGTGAATATTTCGGCTTTTTTCTTTTCGTAACAAAAAAAAAATAAAGTTGAAGAGTTCATTCATTGGAAAATCTATTCATATAGATTACTAATAACATCCATTCCATCTCAAAAGTATGTTCTACAATACGGCTTTGTGAAAAATCCACTGAAAAAATGTTACAGCATATTGTGAAGTTCACTTCAGCATAACATTCATTAAAAGGCAGTCTAATCATTTAACAGTTGTTCGTATAGGATACCGTTGTTATATCACCATAATCAGTGTACAGAAAAGAAGTCTAATTATCTTCCTTTTTAACTGTCGTTATCAGTACAAAGAACTGTTTTCAAATAAATTACTAGCTTTCCTCTCTCAGCTCAAAAAGTTGAGCTCAACGTTTTTTCTATTCAATCATTCGAACCATAAACAACCGTGAAAGACTTATCAAAGACTGTTCCAGTACTTCATTGTACCTATTATCTTTGATATAGAAAGGTACTGAAAATTTGTTATACATCACACCTTTCATACAAGAAAACGACGTCAGCTTTCTAAAAAACCGAAATTGAATTCCTCTCAGGTTCAGTTTTCTTAATTACATTTGAATCTTTCCATTCAATACAGTTAAATCTAACTGATAATATTAAAATATCTTTTTTTTGCTAATATCAAAAGCGGAAAGAAACATGATGAACTTGCATTCTTGTCAAATTTTTTTCTTCTTACAGAATTCTACTCATATGCAATTCGAAAAACGTTGTTTGTTTATGCGTCCATTAAATAAATGAAATGTCGCCTCATCAGATCGTGTAATTTTTTTCTAAAAATGGCAATTCTTTCCAACATGTTTCAATGCATAATTTAAATGTTTCACTTTATTAATATTACTCATTAAGGGCTTTTTGTCATGTGATTCACTCTTCTACAATCAGCAAAGTTTCGAATGCATTTTTATATTTTGTATTTCGTTATAGTATACTGAACCATTATCCTTGAAATATTTGTGTACTTCACCATATCAACTAATCAATCTTCATTCAAATAGCAATTCACTAGTAAAGTTCGTCAGTATTCTGAATAAGAGAAAACATCAAACGATTGGTTACTTTCAGTTAAACTATGTCACTAGAATGTTGACAAACTTTATTTCATAATATCACAAATCTTTTCAATTCAAGAGGAGGAGAATTGAACGTTCATCTTTTCCCCTACACAACTTTTCAACGATGGACACATTATCAGAAAGAGACAAGTATTTATTTCGAGCTTGAAATA